TTTCTCGCACAAAGCAAAACCGCTGAGCACCTCATCCTGCCCCGCTGGAGTCCCCGACTCTTCCCAGGGGCTTCGCTTGGGGCAGGACAAAGGGGGCAGCAGCCTTTTGCCCAACTGTCCTGCGTCTTGGGTGGCCCCCGGCCACTTGCCCAGCAGTTGCCTGCGGCCAGGGGGGTCTGCGGGACAGAGCTGACGGGAAGGTGGGGCGATGCGTTAATGGCAACAGCACTCTCGGCCTCGTACCGTGGTAATACCTGCTGCCAGTTCTGTGTGTTACGCCACCCGCTCGCTGACACGACCTCTGAGGTTGTTTTTATGAGTTGCTGTTCGTACTGCAATGCTGGCAGAGCCCAGGGCTCTGCTCCCACTGTGCAAACAGCCTGCAAAGCCGTCCGTGCTCAGACAGCTTCTGTGGGACCTCGGGAAGTGCCTGGAGACCAGGTGTATCTCCATTTGATGGAGCTGCGTTGCAAAGGCTAGGGAGGAGAACGACTGCAATTAAAATCTTGAACATGGAAGGCCGCCTGTGTCCTCTAAGGGTGAAGTGCAACCTCTCCAGCTCTGCACCTCTGCAGAGGAAGGTTCAGGCGATGTAGCTGCTTCACCATCCCAGATGGTTTGGAGCACTAATACTGTCTGCTAAGCCGAGTTTGCTTTGACAACTGCTGTTACGTGTAATTAGGATATTGCATACTAAACTCAGGAAATCTTCTCTAAATGCCTCTGTGGACCTGAGGGATGTTGAAAATTGCAGATTTGTTGTAACATGAGGTTTAATGGATTCTGGTGCTGCAGTTTCATATTTAATCTTTACTTTGACTATCTGATTGATGTCAGTGGATTGGATAGAAACTGGTTGCTGAAGGATGCTTGGAGGAAAACGGAGCACAGCAGCCCTTGGAGGGAGAGGGTCTGCACAGAGCCCTGGTCCAAGGTGTGGAGGTTTCTGAAGGCACCACTGGCATAACTTGAACAGGGAAAAATGAGAAATGAGTGTCTAACTGCAGATTGTGCTTAGGAAACTTCCCTGGGCATGGTGTTTACACAAAATATTGAAGCATCCAGCAAGGGCTGCACGTGGCCAGGGAGGGCAGCTGCCTTGCAGGAGGGAGGCAAGTGCTTCGTTTTGGTTTGAAAAGGTGGAATCACGCATTGAGAGTGGCCATGGACTGTGTGTCTCATCAAAGACTCCGTGAAATTAATAACACATGCAAATACATGCAAATTCTGCTGCTTTTAAATATAGAGGTTTTAAATATGCTAATCAGATGCATATTAATTTTGTAAACAGGCACATTGTCTGATCCGTAGCAACGAGTTCTCCATTCTTTTGATATAGGGAAGAGTTTGTGGGAGCATTGCTGGTGGAGGGTTCAGGGACAGGAGCTGAAAGTGGTGTGGGACACAGGAGCTTTGTGTCCAGGACACAGCAGGGAGGCTGGGCTTCTCCCTGGAGAAGGTGGGTGAGAAGCGACCTAACAGGAGCGTGAATGGTGAACAATACAGAGCGGGAAAATTACCAGCTGCTAATGAAATGGAAAGGCAACAGAATTTCTAAAATCATAAAAGAAAGCGCATTTTAAAATTCTTTTGTACTGGAAGTCTACTAAATCTGTGGAACTGCCTGCCCTCATACGGCAAAAGAGGCTTAGAGGTTTATGTTAATAAAGCAAACAAACAAAAGCACATTTAGTATGGTAAAGCAGTACAAAGGATATAACACAGGCTGGAGCTGGCAAAGGAGGAAACAAATTTCCCCCGTGGATAGCTCATCTTTAATTTTCACCACGGGGTTTGTATCACCTCTACAGCCACGCTGAGATACAGGTCCGAAAGGGAACACAGACCACGGGAGCGTGGCAGTCGTGAGCAAGCCCCCGCCAAGAGACCCGCCTGCCTTTGGGTAATGGACCAAAAGTAATTTCATTAATGACCCGGGTTTAATGCTGCAGCTCCCACTGGGTGGTTGGATCCCCGTGACACACCAGGCAGCACAACGGGTCTGAGCGCGGGGAGGACATCGTCGTATGGCAGCAGATGTGGCGTGATGGCAGTCAGGTGGGGTGGCACCGGCGTCCCCCTTACCTGGCTATGACGAACAGCACGCAGCTGACCCCCAGGTAGGCCAGGAGGATGTACATCCAAATGTCAGGAGACAGGGGGTTGAGGAAGGAGAAGACGCTGGGGTTGGTCCCGTTGGGCTTCCGGTAGAGGATGCTGACCCCCAGGGTCATAAAGGGCTTGGAGAAGTCTATCGCTTTCTCCCGAACGTGGGTGATGGTGAGAGGAGCAACGGCCAGATCAGCTTTCTGTGCGCAACACAGAGGGAGAGAGAAAGAAGGCATTGGAAACTGAGGTGTTGCCATCCATCCCGTTACAAACACCCACCCACAGCAGTCACACTGCAGTATTGCGGCAAAACCTCCCCAAAACGCAGCCCTGGGGTTCCCCCTCCCTTTGCACGCGGGGTGCGTCTGCCCTGTGCTCCCCAGAGCCTGGCTGGACCTCCAGCCCCCCTCCCGGGACAGGCAGGGCCCTCTGTGCCTGGCACGGGCTGGAGCTCCTTCAGAGCAGGAGTCCTGCCGTACGGGCTGGCAAACGCGGAGCTGTCGTCAGAGCTGCACTCGTGGCACACGAACGGTGTCTGGGCAGCTCAGCTCACTAGCTCTTCTCCAAAGTCCTCCAGGTAAAGGGATCACGGACTGATCTGTGTGCCCTAGACACAAGAACACCCGATATAATATGGTCCTGTTATTACAAATACTTTTCACCACCTCAACAAAACCCCAACGCAGATGCAGGGTCTCCAGAACACGCTGGGTGAGATTCTGGAGGTGGTGGTGTGGATGCGTTTACCATCTCTAAGAGAGTTGTCCCAGATTTAAATCAGTGAGCTGGAGAGCAAAACTGCTGTTTGCTAATTATACTCCAGGACTTTCATTGTGCAGATTCTCGGTTGGCGTTAGCTTGTGAAATACAGCGCAGACCACGGAGATGTTCCAGTCCCCACAGCTTTTGCCCAGGTGCAATGAGCTCCTTTTGACAGGCTCTTTAAGATGGTCAGAACAATTATATCTTAACATGGTATAAAACATCTGCGATCCTCGCCGTGCTTGCTTCTTGCCGCAGAACTCTTTACAACAGAGAGTTTGCTGTGTACAAATCCCACTGTGTGCAGATGATTTGTTTTTGTTGGCCTTCCTTTCAATGTTGCTGCGAGAGGAGAAAGTCACAGAGGGAGGCCACTCCAGAATGAAGCTGCAGGAAGTAATATTGCAGCAGCATGAGGTAAAAGGTTCAATTTCTTTCCCCTCCGCCGACTTCATGATACAACTTGAATGGCTGGTTCTGAGGAAGACGTGGCGCGGGGCAGGAGCACTGCTGTTGGGGAGCGCTCGCTGCCTGCCGGGCTGGTGGGACCGAGCAGAACCCCGCACGGGTCGTCTTCCTCTCGTTGTCTTCCAGGCGTACGGCTGCGAGCCCCACCGAGGAGATGGTTCTGCGAGTTAACGGTGGACTGCACAGCTCATCACACTGGTACTGCCTGAGCCGTGCAGGGAGTTTTAGCTGAGCATATTCTTCACCCTGGCTTCTTGGATGAATTGTGTTTCTTATTATTTCTGTTATTTAATAATTTCTATGCTAGATCCAGCGCGCGACCATATACAACCTCTTTCCGTTGCTTAAGAGCTGCATTTGTTCCTCTCACTAAACATTCCTTCAGGTTCTAAAAAACCCTTCAGTACGTACATCCAAGGCTGCCTCAATGTCAGCTGCCTGGCTTGGCGTTTGTGAATCACGCTGCTGGTGTCACTGACTTCAGGGGAAATGCAGGCACATAAATTACGTGTCTGAAGCCGAGCAGTACCTCCCCCCGTGCCAGGTGCCTAGCACACCCGTGCAAGATTTATTTCGCATCTGAAAATTAAAATTCTAAATTAACCATGAGTGATAATTACCTAGAGATATAGTGGATTTGTCATTACTTGCAAACTTTAAATCAATATTAGCTGTCCTGCTAGAACATGCTTTATTCCAACAGAAACTACGGGTTCACTGTAGAAGTTGGTGAAAGTCTCTGGTCTGTGTTGTGGAGGAAGGTCGGACTAATGATCTTGTTTGACCTTGCAAATCTGTGACGAAAGTCAGTAGAATATTTTTAAAAACAGAATCTAGGCCTTTTTCTATAGGAAGAGTTTCTACATGAGCTTTTATCCATTACATACGTATCCATGTGTGTATGAAAGGGTCTCCTCTCCAAAGGACATAGCTTTAGAGGTCCTGAACAGAAGAGTTTCAGGAACTCTCTAACAAGGGTAAAAATTATGTATTTCTTTTCCTAACATGGTTCTTCAGCTGAGCCCTGGTTGGTTCCCTTTCCTTCTCACTTTCCAAACAGAAATATATTTTAAAATCATCTTGGTACAGAAAGCATCCGTTTCAATCACTGGCGTTTGTCACAACTTAGAGAAAATGGAAAAAATATTTTCCCAGTGAGCCCGTTTGTGCCAGCTGTGGCTGTGGTGACACTGAGGAAATCTGAAGGACGGTGGGTTTTAGAAGTGGACAGGCGATGCTGGTGGTGCGTCAGACGGTGAAGTTCTGTACCTGAGGAGCAGAGTCTGCATCCCTGGTCCGTGCTGGCAGAGGATGCCCGGCAGGTTTGTAGCTTGGCCGCTCTCCCCACATTACAGTGCGCTTGAGAATTTTGGCTTATCGGTCTCTGAAGTCACAAGGCAGAAATGGCAAAAGAAATGCAGCATTTTAGCTCCTCCATCACTTCTGTGTGGGTGTCCTGACTCAACAGGGAAAACCGAGGGAGATACTGAAGGATTTGGCTATGGATTTTTCTGAAGGAGGGAACAAATGAGCAGTTCTGTGGTCAGTGCTCGCTAGGAACTGCCTGTCTGAAAGATCCTAAGCCAAATTTGTCAAAATGATATAGCAAGCTAAATAACAGCTAGGAGTTTATGCTTTACCGCAGAAAATGGAGAGAGGAACCTGCATGGATGCCCAAGGATCAAAACGTTTTTAGTGCTGAAATAAATTTTTACTGTGTCATTTCAGCAGCTCCTGTGATTTGATCACAGCCCCGTGTCCTTGGCAGTAAATGTCCCGCACAGGCAGGATGGAGCCCAGGCTGGTGTGGTGTCCTGAGCTACTAAAGGCAGTACGGGGCTGCACTTCGATATCCTTTTTATCAATGCAGATTTTTCTGAAGGTGGCCTCTAATTAAGGGTTTGCTGACTGAGAGGATCTAAATCAAAACCCACCAAGGGTGAAGCTTTCATTTGTCGTGCTCTGACATTACAAACCGTGAAGTCAATTATCAGGCCCTGACTGCTTCCTCCCCTCAGCCCCAACTTTTTTGCTGTTGCACAGTAAGATGGATTTTATTGAAAATGAGGAATTATAACAAGTGCCAGTGGCTTAAAGGCCCTTATCCAGCAAAACCACTTAAGCACACGCTTCTGTTTTACTGGAGCTTGCGCACCTTCCAAATCTTATGTATGTTCTTAAGTGTTCTGCTGAATTGAGGCCAGAAAGATGAATTTTGCCAAGGCAGCTACACACCAAATGCAGACACTTCTCTAACACACCTTGAAGGGTTTGGATCTCCTTATTCACCCAGCGTTACAGCATTCTCACTTGGGTGGAACTGATGTGAGTTCAG